GGGTGGATGCCTGAAGGAGGCTGTGAATCCATGGGAAGCCTGCGCTGGAGCAGGCTCCTGGCAGGACCCATGGAGAGAAGAGCCCATGCTGGAGCAGGTTTGCTGGCAGGACTTGTGACCCTGTGGGGGACCCATGCTAGAGCAGTTCATGAAGAACTGCAGCCCATGGGAAGGACTCACGATGGAGAAGTTTGTGGAGGACTGTCTCCTGTGGGAGGGACCCCACACTGGAACAGGGGAAGAGTGCAAGGAGTCCTCCCCCTGAGGAGGAAGGAACAGCAGAGACAACATGTGATAAACTGACCGCAACCCCCATTCCCCATCCCTCTGCGCTGCTGCGGAGGAGGAGATAGAGAAAATTGGGAGCAAAGTTGATCCCGGAAAGAAAGGAGGGGTTGAGGGAAGGTGTTTTAAGATTTAGTTTTTATTTCTCATGATCCTACTCTGATTTGATTGGTAATAAATTAAAATAACCTCCCCAAGTCGAGTCTGTTTTACCCATGATGGTAATTGGTGAGTGATCTCTCCCTGTCCTTATCTCGACCCACAAGCCTTTCATTATATTTTCTCTCCCGTGTCCAGTTGAGGAAGGGAGTGATATAGTGGGTTTGGTGGGCAGCTGGCATCCAGCCAGGGTCAAACCACCAGACAGACACATGGCACAGACTCATAGAAACAAAACAGGCAGGAAGGAGGAAAGGGGGGGGGGCAGAAAAAAAGGCAAAAAGAAAAAAGAGCCTGGAATTTAGATAGTGAGAAGAATGGAATTCAGAACCATTGCAATGACCTGTCTGACCTAGGAAGTATTGCATATGGCAGACAGCAAACAAGACCAGCAGCGTATAAAAGGGTCACTGACTCCAGAGACAGCATTTCCATCCAAAAGCCAGTGGGTAACCTTTTGCAACAAAAAGCTTTTTTTTTTTTTTTTTAAAAAAAAAAAAAAAAAAAAGAATTATAGACACTGACAACAGCCAGATTAAACCAGCCACAAACCAGCCAAGATCTTCATTTTTCTCAAAAACAATATCCCCAGCTTCACTAAATCAAATCATGTCATACCTGTATTTTTTTGCTTTAATACAAAATAGACATTTTAAAGACAACTAAAGAGAGAGAAAGAGATCTATTTCAAAGTGCAGTTGAACATTTCCTTCTGGAAGATTTCTTCTCTTGCAATGTCCTTAACACTGCCAGTGCCATACTCCAGCACAACTAAAAGACAGTGCTTCTCCACATTACAGCCCTGCAGACTTTTTGTTTGGTTGTTTGTTTAGTCATTCCTCAGTGCCTTAATGTTGTTTGGAGATATTTACAATAATTAATTGCCCCTCAAGTTCCCAAGAGCAAATTTTTGTCTTCTCAAACAAGGTGGGAATCAGGTTAAAGGTTGTAGGCAGATACAAACTGTGAATGCTGCATTACCCACAATGACTCTTGGGACTGAAAGCCTAGTTAAGAAAGTTAGAAAGTTTAGTTAAGAAAAGAGAGGATTCATTCAATTATCTTACTGTATATTAGTAAGCTAATGGACATGGTGTATGAGGAGAGGGAATAACAGTCATTTACTGTCTTTTCTGAACATAATCAAATAAAACATGAAATGTTTATTTTTTTCAATAGCTAGTAAACTTATAGTAATATTCAACAGCAGAGCAGTAAGAAAAGCAAGGGCTTTGATGTTAGGCTGGTATAACTGCCAGGGCTGCGACAGTCTCCTATTACATACCAGGATATCGGGTATCTTCACTAATCCTAATTTAGTCTCATACATATTCTTCATCAGTTACCATTAAGAGACGTTTTTCACCTGATGTCATGTGGAACTGAAACAGTATTGCTGATGGTCACAGTGACATAAAATAAAGGCAAAATCAGTCAAATGGAAAGGGCTGACAAGAAACAGTTCAGAAGTGATTCACTTAAACCTGGCAAGCCTCTCGGGGATGAGAGCTGTGGTATGACTGGTCACATGCAGGGCTAGGCTGAAAAGAACTAATGTTAATAACTGAAAAATGGGTGACAGCATTAAATCTCAATAAAACCCACAATATTTGTGGCCAACAATGCTGCCACTTACGTACGTGCATCCAAATCTGCTATGGACTACATTCCCTGGAGCAGACAGCTTTCAGAAGCACCCTCTTTCCCCTGCTCCATACCAAATAACAGAATCTAGTGGGACTGTAAGCAGTCATCCTCCCTCTTTTTCCTGGAGTGCAATAAAGAGAACAAAAGGGAAATGCAATGGAGCTGTTCTGTGATTCTTCCTGTGAATGAAGAAAAGATCAGAAAAGGCATTCAAAAGGAAGAGAGGAGGCAACACATTAATGAGGAATGAGGTGCGTTGCATTTAGGCTAAAGCATTCTGCATCTTTGGCCAGTTAAAGCCAGGAATGGCACAGCTACAGCTGTGCATAGACACAAGCATAAACGACTGTTTCAGGTTCTTTCCATGCCACCTTTTACTTTCCTTCGGTGTCTCAATTAGTATAGCTTCACTAGCCCTGGTGTAAGCAGCTAGTGTTGAGCAGTAATATATGAGCAGAATATACAATAGAAGAAGGATCCATTCACAAGTCAAATGTTGGGCATGTAGATGTTATATAGCTGAGAGCTACTGAAATGCCTTTTTGTTTTAAAATTGTTTAAACTTCATCACCAAAATTAATACCTGCTGTTTGTGCTGTAGCAGACAGAAGAATGTATTTAGCACAGCGATAATCATCAGCTAAGCTGTGTATCTAAGACTTTACTGCACCTGCTTCTCCAGCACTAATACAAGTTTCAGAACTAAATTACATCTCAGCCAAACCTTGATCGTCATACGAAGCACGCACTGCAGAACAACACAAACACGCACAAACAAATCTTCACGTAATGTCCTGAGAATAGCTAAACCTCACACAAATGAAGGCAACCATAACAGTGTCTACTAGCATCAGACAATGAAGGAAACTATCAGGTTTTCTAGCATGAATCTCAAGTCCCATCCTGCCTCCCTTTTGCCCCAGGCAAGATATCTTGCTTCTCTACTTCTCCAGGTCTGTATTCTTTTAGGCATGTTAATGAATTGAAGCTTACAAGATCACTAAGTAGAAGGAGACAACCAGTTCTCTTCCTGTGGGTCTTGGGAAGAACATAAACCTAGACCTCTACAAACAAAAGGTCAGCAGGACCCAGGTCTATGGGAGTGCAAAAAGATCCAGGTAGAATGTTTTAAATATTGCAGATGATGCTCTCCAGTACAGTTGAGCCATCAAGGTACTATGTGCCTTAAAAACATGCACGGAGAATTAAAGCTGCAAAGAGCTTACAATATGAAGTTGCCCTGTGCTTATTTTGTACCATTAATTTTCTTCCTGATTTTGCCTTGAAATTTTGCTGCAAACAATATCCTTCTCTATTTGAAAAGTCACAACATTTTGTCACTTACTGCTGCACAGGGTATACAACTACAGCAATACAATTTTCACAGGAAGAAGGTATTTAGAGGAGCTAATATCACGGACACAATGAACATGAGGAAAACGGATGGAAGCACAGAAAAAAGAGACAAAGAAGATAAAGCCAGATGCACAAAAAGAAGCAAAATGTTGAAATAGGGACTTAAGCAGAGATGCTTAGGTGCAGGTGATGGAAACGATGATCAAAGTCCTTCAACAGATTTTCATCTACAGCAACTCGCGTTCTGGCTACACACAAAAGCATAACTCCGTGTTGGCAGGAATGGTCAGCTGGCATTGCTCCAATGCCTACACCTGATCAACATTCTCTCAGTAGATATTCTACTTCTGTCTGCAAAAGGGACCAATGGCCTCAGCATGCTAACATGCACCTCTAGAAATAACTTCTACTCAATATACACAGACTAACGTCTTCTCCTGTTGTTCAAAAAGAAAAAGCGACTGCACCTCCATCTGCAAAAGGAAGTGTTAGAACATACCAGGCTATGATTCCAGCCTGTGAATGGCAATTAAACAGACTACCATCCTGCAGTGCAGATCAGATATTTTAGAAAATCTGAGTTTAAAAGAGTACAAATCAGCCTTCAGTATTAGCTGTTTGCTTAATTTACATTTTCCTTCTCACTCTTCTGTGGCAGTATATTGCTAGGAATAATATTTTAAGTATCTAAAGCTCCCCACAAATTCCACTTTAGGAGTCGGATGTTCAAAGCTCAGCACTGCAATGCCCAGCGTTACCACATCTGCATTTCTGTGCTGAACTGCCTGGAGAAAGCACCCACTCAAGATCAATCAAACCTGAGTGTGGATCAGGAACTGAAAAGTCAGTCCAGTGGTTCAGAGTGAAATCATTTTCCTCTTGCATTGCCCCTTTAGTAACTCATCCTTGATGTTCACACCATTATCTGTGTTTTTCAGCATACTATTCATAGTCCTGTAACACAGCTGTATTACTGTATGGGGAAGCTTCTGGTCCCAAACCCAACTTTTTTACCTTTGGATCAGCAGTCAGCAGCTTGAATGCTTGATATACTTGTGCTTCTTTCACACCTCCACCAAGATCCAAGAAGTTAGCTGGCTTTCCACCGTTCAAGGATATTATATCACATGTTGCCATTGCAAGTCCAGCTCCATTGACTGTAATTGTAAACATCAGGTGCTTATGTTTCACATAAAAGTATGTAAGATTTGTGAAAAGGCTTAAAACTTATCAGCACAATGACGTAACATGGCTCAAAATGTTACATAAATATTTATTTCTAAATAGGTCAGTACCTATTCAAGGATACTCAATGCAACAAATAATTCAAAACCTGGTGCATACACACCAACGTTTAGATTTCTTTATGACAGTATCAATTTTAGGACTTAGATGTGAACCTTCCCTTAAGCATGTATGAGCACTGGAATGGCAATTGTGGAAATGCAAAAACTTCTGATTTAAAAAAAAAAAAAAAAGGACACAAAAACATCTGGGAATGGTGATCGCATCATAAGACATGAAGGACAAATTGACTCCTTAAGCTCCCCTCGCATCATTCTGATAGCGGTAGATGATGCTTTGTATTACTGTAAAACAGATCACTACATTCTGGGGACAGATATTAGATACTCCTGAAACTGCCTTTTATTTTGCGTTTGCGCCAGCCTAGGAGCATTCCCATGGGCATGAACATCCTCTAAGTTAGGAAAAGTAGATGTGAATTATTTGTCCCAAGTAAATTGCTCTTGCTGGACAAAGTAAGGCTTCTGCATCACCTGTAATTCAACAGCAATATCTAATACTAAAAAAATTCTATTTCTATTCTAATTTCTATTCTACAGAAACTTCAGGAAAATAAGAAAATGGTACTTTCCTTTTAACAACCAAGCACCTTCTTCAGCAGCTTTCCTTAAAGGGAAGTGGAGTTAAATATTCATTTGTAAATGGGACTATCAAGTTTTTACACACACGCTTTTGCAGTGCCTTCTCAGTAACACAGTCTCCTTTTTGAAAATGAGTGATCAGATTTGGATGACTTTTCTTGTTTTGTTTTAATTACTGGAAAGACCAATTGCATCAGCTTAAAAATTCAGAACGTAGAAACCCCACGGGCTTCTCCATTAGCCTGTCTTCTCTCTGACATCACACATGCCCTGCCTGTCTGCTGCTGTGGCCTTCATCACAGTTTCAACACAATTTTAGTTTCATTCCTGCAAGAACTCGTGGAAGGACAGACAACCTTAGCAAAACAGACTGAAATACTGTCAAGGGTGGATTGAATGTCAGAATGTAAACAAAGTCTATACACTGAACAAGTATGAATTTGTCTTCAAATGTCTTTTGGATTTATTTGTTCTTACCAAAGCAAGCAATATTTCCATCCAGTCCTATATATTTTAAGTCATATTTGGCAGCTTCATTCTCTATAGGCTCATTTTCAGACTTGTCATCCATGGCAAATATTTCTTTTTGCCTAAATTCTGCATTGTCATCAAAGTTTATCTTGGCATCAAAACAAACAACTAAAGAAAAAAATATAAAACAACATATAGGCATTTAGAGATTACAGTTAGAGCTTCTGAAATATTACACCAACTACTACAGCAGGGAGGGAGAGAGGGCTGCTTAAGGACTGACGTGGCTTCCAACATATGATCAGCTGAAGTTCTAGCATTGAGTCCAGGAGATAAGGGTAAGTTTTCCTCAAATCCTATATTGACAAAAGGTACAGCAAGCATCTCCACACTACACAGTCATGTGCCTTTGTCAAGGGATGATCTTCTATGTTTGCTTTAAACAAATTTCCCGTAAGTTATGAAGGCAGTTTTTATGATGTGGACGGGTGGTCTGCAGTAATTTCATATGAGAGCCTACTTTCAGTATTTTGAAAGTATGACAGATACAACAGATAATAGGTTAGCAATCCAAAGCAATGTTTGGTAACATGCACTCATTTATAGTCAAGCAATACAAAACACTTTCCTTAGCCAATTTTTTTAATTTATAATGTTATTAGCTATACACACATTATTTCCCTAAAGATCTAAATTAAAACAAATTTAAGCCAATGTATGTTAAAAATGATCACAAGATTACTTTTAAATAAGGAAAATTTTAAAAGTAAATACAAAACTTCTGAATGTCAATATCTGCTATGGTTGTAAAAACAAATTAAGAAGTAGCTAAACCTGACTATATTAAATTATAGATACCAAAGACCAGCTAGTAGACATAATATTCACATAAAAACAAATAGTAAAAGAAACGTATGTAGAGTGAACTGGTTATTTGCCTATTTACTGAGGTATTATTTCTATGGGCTTGCATAGGCAAACACCTTATTAGATTAAAATGTTCTAAGTAAATGTAAGACTATATACTTATTTTACTATTTAAGTGATTTGTTTTGTACTATAACCAGATTATAATTACTGATGGAATTATAATTGATTTCTCAATGCAAACCAGTCAGATTAAGTGCCTTTAAATGCTGCACCCAGAAAAATCGAATAGTTTTTCTTTCTGCTGTGTCTGGATTCGTATTGCCATTGAAACACATATGTAGTACGTATGCACCTGCTCACGAGCACTGTACACGTCTCTGCAACTAGAAGCCAATTACAACTAAAAAGACAATTCTTAGTCTTTGATATAGATACCCATCAATTAAAATACTAGTCACACAAAGTTTTTTGGTGGGCAAATACCTCTCTCTTTTTTTTTTTTTTTTTAATATACAATTGCTTAACTTAGGAGAAAACATCAAAGCAAACAGCAAACAAAACATTTACACAAATAGCAGAGTCTCAATTGTATGTCTTGATTTGCATTGGGTTTTCTTGGTTTCGATTTCTGGTGTTGCTGGGTTTTTTGCGGTTTTTCTAAATACATTTGATTTGTAACCAATACTAGATGAAATTAAAACAGGATTAAATTTAGTTTCAGTGACTGCAGTTTCAGAAAAGTATTAATGAATGTTTGCGTATAATAAATCTCTCTTGGAAGAGTCTAGATCTTACCCGGTCAACCATCATGTGGGAATCTGCCAAAAGGAGAAATGTCTGAAGTTCATGATATGCTTCTACAGTACTAGAGCTGCTTTAATTTTTTTAAACAATGAACTAAGACCTGTACCATTTTTCTTCTTCAAGCTTTCAGTTCCTTAAATTGCTGAAACAACTCAAAGCTAGAGTAAAACTGCAGTTTCAGAGCTCTGTTTACCTTAGACATGAACATCCTCAATGTCACATTAATAGAATCTCATTTCTACAGAACATTCATCTTTAACAAAGGCCATGCTGTACAGAGTAGCAGGAAAAACACCTATTAATATTTATCAAACCATTTTTACCATCAAAAGCACATTGTTACATGCATGATAGATTATACAAATGAAATTTTCTTCTAAACAAATATCAAAGAAAGCTCCAACGCTTATATTCATGGAGTATTTCTGTTGTTTTTGCTAGCAATGTAGGATTTCTGTCATCTGCCAATTCAACCGCTTACACTGAGAGCAAACAAACCAAAAAAACCCCAAAGAAATTGGCAGCTACGGGCTTCTGACCCAATAGTGTTAACAAAGAATTTGCTACAAAATTAAACAAAAGGAAATACATACGACAATGTATTTTATTATGGAAATTCACACAAGTGAAAAACACAAAACAGCAAGAAATAAATCCATCTTAACTGTTACTTTGACAGGAATAATCGTCTTCATACAGAGACTTATATTTTATCATTAGAAATAACTGCATTAAGCTACTCGGATGTTCTTCCATTTGTTTATCTTTATTCTTTAAGACATTTCAGACAGAAAAGCTGCTAGCAAAAAAGAAATAAGCACAGGAAGACTTCTGTGTATGTCTGCTAGTAAGATGGCTTTCACAGCTTGAAACCCTCGCTGTTTCTGCTCCTCAGCTTCCTGGATGTGAAACACATGGGGAAAAAACTTGGAGAAAACAGCATAAAACTCCTACTATCCATCAAATTAAGCCCCGATCACTAAATATGCACAGCCATTACAGAAAAGCTAAGTTGGCAACTTACCCAAATCAGTTCATTTTTTCCACAATGCCACCTCATAGTACTCCAGCAAGGATGTAAAGTTAGAGCCACCGTGGTTCTTTAGGACCTTTTAGGACCACCAGTTTTGTTTCCTCTCATTCCCAACTGTCCTCTTCTTCACTTGCCCCTACTTATCTACCAATTTCCCCTCTGGGTTGGTACCCAGACAAATACATCCTCAGCACCTCAATGATGCCCCTATTCTGCTATCTGACAGCACTGTCTCTGCCCTTCTCAATTCCTTCTTAGTGTCTATACACGTATCTACAGTGTCCCCTCACTAATACCCACAGCGTACTTAAAGGTCTTCCTTGCAGGATTACATGGCTGAGATGATGTAGGTACTAAACTGGAGATTTTGTCCTTTGCTCTGCCAAAATAACAGAATAGTAAAGTGCTTCTATACTAGGCATCTGAGCTAGTTTTGAATCAGCAAGTGTGAATACCAGAACAGCCTAGTCCTGGCACAAAGGGCTCACCACAACTCGTTTCTCTGCCTCAGAGAAGGCAATTGCCATAGATGTCCCAATTTCTGACATCTGACTGAGTATAAGGACTACTGAGTACCTGCCATACTGCCCTGTAGTGTTAAGGTATCTTGGCTAATTATTCTACTAAAAAATTTTTTTCAACAAGTTTTGAGGAAGGAAATTTTGTTTTTGTAGTATCAGTGGTCTTGAACCCACAAAATAAACCTGCTAAGTATATCAGTCATAGGAGACAAACATACCAATGAATTTGTTTTGAAGCGAACATCATAATCCGCAGTAAAGTTCCAGCAGTTTTTGTTGCACCTATTTTAAAGGTCTCATTCATCCTCAAAAGGTCAAAAGTGTCATGTGTTGCACACTGCTAGTACTTGAAAAATCCCGACCATTCATTTTATAAGGCCCTGTTTCATTGTTCTGCTCTAACCTCACTGTGCAACACAAAATGAAAACGTCCTTCTCACCTCATTCCCAACTGGTTTTAATGAAGCTTACGGATCTATTTAAATGGCAGGGAAAAACAACAGTCTATTGGGTTCTGAAGGCAAATCATCCATTTCCATTTAAAATAAAGCCTACAGTAAAACTACACTGGTCAACAGCAGGGCTTTTTGTCTCTGGCCCCCAGTACACATTTCACAAATTGCATAAGAACCAATGGAGCCAGAGTTTGTTGCTAAGATTTTGACTTACATTTATTAAGCTGAGTGAGGTTTACAATACAGAAACTATTGATTGAATGTGCACGTTATTATGGTACTTCAAATGAGCTGGAAATCTGAGCGCACAATGCTGCAAAAGATTCTCAAATAAAAAGAGTTACAGCATTTGGTAGAAATTATTCTCATGAGAGAAACTTTATCGAGACAGCTAAAGGATTCTGGCGGCAAGAACACCAAAAAAACCCAACCAAGAAGGAATTTGAAAAAGGTCAGGTAAAAAAAAGATTCAAAAAGCAGAATGCATACAGTTAGGTCATAAATATGTTCTTCTAACTTAGTTTAATCTAAAATCAGCTCATTATATAAAAAAAAAATTGACCACACATTTTATCATTATTGTCATTGTCTCTGAATTAGCCTCATATACTTAGAGCATACGAGTATACTCATCTACTTATACTCATATACATAGACAAGACATTCCTTTTTGTATTTGTTTTTAAAACGTCACCTTACAATAAGGCATTTTAGTTTCCTAGAGCCCATTTTATAACAAAGAGCAGCACTTTATAAGATGCGTTAATAAAACGGAGCGGGGCAGGATTTGTTTTACATCTTTCAGAGCTTTTTCAGAGTACATTACCAGCAGAATTTTCCTTTTAAGCTGTGCACAAGTCTCTGCCAATTCTCTTGCATTTGGTTTGTTAATAAAAAGGGAAAAAACAAGGTTGGACAATTGGAAAAGAGTACGTAGTTTCTAGCCACAATTCAGCTTTTGAATTCCTGACCAACTGAGCCAAAAATATGGATTTTTAGTGAAAAGCTGTTTACTTTACAAACTAGCTGTGGGCACATAAAAAGTATTTTTAAAATGCTAATTCTTTCAATTGGTACTGACTCCTAAGAGGAGCTCATGGTCTTAACTGACATAGCAACGATCTTTTTCCAAAAGTTTCCAGAACTGCAATTAAGCAGCCACAATCCTAATGTCTGTTAAAATGGGTAAAAGCTTTCTCCTTCCATTTTCCCATTTCCATTTTAATCTGTAGGTATATCTCAAAGTAGGCTAAAAACTGGAATTGTCTTTCTTGAGTATTCTTTATCAATGTTTGTCAAGAAACACCCACCAGCACTTCCCAATGTCAAAGACTTCTCTCAAGTCACAAAATGATACTGTAGGTAGGGGTTCTACAGGAAAGTCACTACTGCTTGTGAACCGCAGCCTTTGACACTGAAGTCTCAGCTAGCTCCCCCTGAGCTCCCCAACTTCTCACCTTTATCTATTTAAATTACAGAGAAGAAATAAAAAGGGGAGGGGGCATGAATACTGTAAAATATTAGCATTAGGAATGAACACAAGGGTAAAAATGGTTTGCCATCAAACGAAAGAGCAAGGTGGTATCTATGATCCACTTGGATCAGCCCTACTCTATTTCAATATACCACAGGCATCTTTAGTCCCTCTTCTCTTTTGTCCAAGTTAATTGGACAAAAATGACAAATGAAAGGAAGGCTTCAGCTGGAAAACCAACTACTAGAATGATATGAAAGCTAACCCAGCTCCTTTTATTTACCCTATACCTTCTTAGTCCTGTATTCATGGTGGAAGCAGATCCCTTTTTTTCTAAAGGATGTAGCTAAGTGTCTGTTCCAGCTGGAATTTCTCCTGTGCTGTAGTAGATTGCAGAGTCACACACTTATGATTTTAACTTACCTATATGTTTACAAATGTAAAATAACAAATTTCTTTCTGCACTATCACAGGAATTCTAGCAACATTAACAAAAAAAATCCAAGACAAAACAAAATCAAGAAAACACCAACTTTGTACAAAGAGCAGAAGAGCAGAAAATGTTGCTGTTTCTCACCAAGCATAACATGTAGAAGCCGATACTTCCAGTATTTGGATGAAATAACAAAAGGTATTGAAATGTAAAATCTGCCATGGGAATATTTATGAATGTTGCTTAAATTACATTACAAAATGAAATTAATACAAAGCTGCTGCTACAGCCTTCTATGCAATTTAATTTATAGTTTGCATAAATAAAGAATTATAATGCATTCATTTGTTTCCTTCAATTTCTTACCTTGCCCTTCTGGAGTTTCACCAAAGGGATTCACTTCAACCTGAGTGGCATCAATTTTCAAGAAAAGATTATACAGCTTCTTAATTTGATCTGCTGCCTAAATTTGATCAAGCGATTTACAATTACCACATAGAAAAATAAAAGTTAATGTTTTCAAGGCAAAGGTAAACCATTATTGACTATTTTTAATGTATTAAATTGCACACTAGCTCCAGATAATTACTGCTTTTATTTCCGTTTTCTTAATCACATTTATATAGTATCTAAAATAGCTATAATGTAGCATTATGATACCGCATAACATTTAGTAAATGTGCATTTAAATACTACATGAACTGGAGATTTTCTACAAAATAAACAGCACGATTACTATGACAAGTTTAATTTGGCAAGTGCTTAACAGTTCATAATGACATATTTGCCAGTATGCTGAGATCTAAGTTGCATTCACGTTAATCAGTCTAAAGTCAGAAACCATAAAACTGTACGTGCGCATTAGTAACTTTAGAAAAAAATATACGTTTCTCCTTCCTACATCAGTCTGAAATGTTTTCTTGAAGAAATTATGTCAGAAGCATGCTTGTTTACTCTTTACAAGATACTCTTGCTTGTTCTTTATTGTTCCTCACCGTCTCTGTGACTGGTTCTGTAGCCGAAAGTATTGTGACTGACTACTAACTTCCAAGTCTTCTGTTTTTGTAACATTCTTCCATTAATAGAACAACTTAAACAACAGCAACATGAACGTGCATAAAAAAAAATCCCTTTGGTTCATTACATACTGACAACCTATTAGCTGAAACAAGTTTGCAAATGAAGTGCACTAATAAAGAACCATTCAAATTTGTTCTTCATTACTGATCAGTTAACTGAAGTACACAAACCAAAAACATTTGGGACCTCTCCTAATAAGCAAAGTGAATGAGAATAAAAAAGCAGACGTCAGCTTTCTCCCATAATGTCATTCATAAGAAAGAAAACATTACGACTGGAAAGACTCAACCCCAATACTGTACTACATCAGGAAGAAGATGGTGAGGGATGTTCCTGTCTCCCTCTGTTCTGTGCTGACAAGGCTGCACTTGGAGTGCTGTGTCCAGTTTTGGAACCAACACGCCTAAGACTCTTGAAAGAAAGAGTTACAGTTTGGAAGCAGCATACAAATCGCTTATAAAGTCTTCCCTGGTCAAAAGTCATCAGCTGAAGCATTCTCAGTGCGTTTGACTTTAAAAAAAGTTATCAGTTATAAATCTGCACCCACCAAGGCAGTAGTTTCCTTGGCGTTGACACTCTTGTTGACAAACTATCCTAACACCACATGGGTAAGGCTATCAACAGTGACACTAGGGGGGAAGTCCCACCGTGCAACCCCACAGTGATTCTGGGCAACTTGAAAAGCTGTTGCTGCCCTAGTACACTGCTGTGATTTTAACAGATGACCAGAATCGCTTAACTTTTAATAAGGGCTGCTCCATCTTTCAGCACCTCTCTGAATCAGGCAGCTTAACATCAACATTTCTCTTTCTCAAGATCTACAAGTACTGAGCCTCTTCGAGGCAAAACATAAAATCCCAACCTAGAAATAGCAAATGTACAAGTAAATACTAGGATTTGTCTGAATAAAAACTATGCCCCTATGCTTCAGTAAATTCCTTTGAACTGATAGCACAAGGAAAGAAATGCATTCACTGCAGTATTATTTAAATGTATTGTTGAAAAGTCCATATATTGCTGTTAATTATTAAGTACGAGAACTCTTCAAGAGTTGAAAGGTTCTACATAATCATTTCTCCTCATTAGGTATACAGCTAAATCTTCAAATGTGTGTTAATCAACTTAATGATTCTGCATTTGTTAATTGCATGGTTGGGATAGAAAATAATTAAAACTGCTGAATTAAAAATAAAGGAGTTCTACAAAAATTACAGTTTGATACTATGGAAAAAAAGAACAGGCAAAAGTAGCTTAAACAAGCTTTTTCTGATTCGCAAAATGATTCACAAAGGCAAAATATCTTGCATATTTGTGTACAATATGGAATTCAATATATATAAAAAAAAGATACTGAAAAGACAACAAGCTGGTAGACTTCTGGTTTTGTGTTGAAGTTTGGAAAAAAAAGGCTTCAATTACACACTTTTACTTCTCTCCGTATTAAGGGCCAAAATTAAAAAAAAAAATGCTCTACCCATTTAATTCACTGAGCTCCAATGGAATTCCAATAAAATCAAAAGAATCACACGTGGTGTAACAGCATGTTGGCATCAATTGTTTCAAAGACCAGGGACTTTGACTCTGGAACAATAAGGAACTTATTCAAATTGCTAAAGCCTGATAACAATTATATAGGTGCAATTTAATATTTAAAATGTCAAAATGGTCCTGATCTAATGGACACTTAGCCTTCCACGTCTATTTGGAAAGCATTTATTGTATAGCTGTGCTAAAATGTCTTCAGTAAAAACTGAGAGTCAAGTTACCTGCTGTTGCAAAGGTCCTTTGAATCCCAAATTTTTTGCCATCTGCAATGCCTGATGATCCTTTATACCTTCAAAAATATCTATTTCCTCCTGTAACAATAATGTGCATAAATATAACAAACTATTCCATCTGAATGGAGATTTATAACTTCAAAAGGAAAACACTTAGTATACATCTGCAAATTAGTAATTAAAGCATGGCTGTTTGCCAAAGTTCTCTCAGACTGAGGCTATAGCAGCTGCCTATAGGGTATGTTATAATTACCACACCAACTATGAAACAGTCCTTCCAAAAAAGTATATAATTCTTCAGGGTGGCATGCTGACAAGACAATGTGACACAAGTTTTCACTTTTAATTACTGTACAGATGGCGTTGACGAATATTTAGCCTGTTAATTTTTATGACATCTTCTGGAATATTTTCAAGGCAATGGTGCCACTGCCCAGTAACACTGTGAAGTTTATATAATTGTAAAATGAACATTAAATATTTTTACAATTTTTTGAATAATTATACTTGATTGTATCAATTATTTTCGCAGATGAATAGCTTGTCTACTCATTATCATGCCACAGTAATATAAAAAAATACTTAAATGTAGTCATCGTTAAGAAAGCAATTACAACAGTTGTATTTCAGATGCAAGAGTCATCCAGGTACAAAGAAATAATTAACAACTCCGTCAATTAGAAAAAAAAAACCAACCACAGAAACCATAACCATATTGGCACTGACCCACTCGTGAAAAAAATGTGTACGTTCCTGAAAATGAAACTCACTCATTAAACATTTCAGATATTAAGTTTAACGTATCGTGTAACAGACAGATTTAAGCTCTTTTTCTCAACTGAGCTGGAGACACAAATGCTAACAAAATCCAATGTTAAACATGCTTCATTCATCTACTAGATGACAGGTCTGATCCCCTATTTGGTGAAACACAATTTTTATGGTTCTTATTGTCTTATTGTCTTTCCATACATGGAAGAAGGATAAGTGGAAGGAGAAAGGGAGGGGAGAAATATTCTTTTGGATAACTGACACAAACAATTTTTAGTCCAAAATATTATTTTAATACCTTAAAGATAAGTTCTGGGCTAGTAACTGCAACTTCTTCTATGTCAACACCACCCTGTGGACTGCCAACCATAACAGGTCCATTGCAGGCTCTGTCCATCAAAATTGCGAAGTATGTTTCCCTGGAAATATTCAGTGCTTCTGCAACCATCACCTAAAAATGAATATAGGGAAGAAAAAAATAGCAACTGTTCTGACTGGTCCATCTTGCTGGTGACAATCTGAACATAGCTTTGCTTCCTTGAGGTGTCAAGAGTAGTGAATGTCGTAAAATCTTTTGCAGTGTAAAAGGCAATTAAAAATTAACAGAACCAATGAGGGGCAGTATTTCCCTCTGCTGTGATCAAGCAGATAACATTGTGGCTCATGTTTTCTGCATCGCCTTAAAATGCAGCAGTTTTATACTTGCCATCCTGAAAAGAAATGTTTGTTTCATTGCTTTTACAAGATATTACAACCCCGTGATTTTCTTCCCCCAAGAAATCCTCTCTCTCTAAATAAGAGACTCCCCTGATGCTGCTGTTCTCACTGGGATATGTAACAAGCAGTGTAAACCAGGAGCACCTAATTGTTTGGGGTTTTTTTGGGTTTTTTTGGGTTTTTTTTGTTTTTTTTTCCCCCAAGAAGAGAATTGGAGCTGCTGTTGTGTCCATAAAGGGGACCTCCATATTACCTTTTTATTCCCAACAAGCACTTTAACATGCTGCCCCCAAAAAAACTTGAGTCACAAGGGACTACAGTCTTGCAAATCACATAGATGTAAGAGAGGGTACATTGGCTTTCTGATGCATTGCATCTGTAGTGCTGTTCTTTACCAGTAAAGCCTCAGGCTTAAGTTCTCTCCCTTGTTCTGACAGAAGGCCATCCTACACTTACAATCTCAGCACTGAATTCCTGCCCTGCCTAAGTATTTCCTAAAGAAATGGGTTTACAGATAGTTCTGCTATCCAGCTTTTTACTTTCAGTTTAGAGAGACAAGCAGATGAGTAACCTTCAGATACTGACACATTCTAAAAACATAAAAATTTACTTTTCCAAAGAGCTACTCGTTTGTATTTATGACTATAAACTATAGAGCCCTTTCGTACCAATATCTGACAGATACCTCAGCACGTAACAAAAAAGATGATTCAAATTCTACATGATAGGAATCTACAAGAACTCACATTAAAATTGGGGGGAAAATGGCCCATATAAATCCTTTGTTACAATTTTTTCTCTCCTCCCAAAAATATTCGAAAGCCAACAAAGTCTTTTCCATTGCAGTATTACAATAACTATACTTTCCTCTTCTCATCTGAACTGTCAGTTTTTGCAATAGTTTAACAATAGCTATTAAAGCAATTTCAGAGATTAAGTAGTTTTACACTTGGCAAAGGACTCACAAAACTATGTTTTGATGCAAGAATACTAAGTTCCCCCAAATATTCTTCACCTTAAAAAAAAAAAAAAAATCAAGAAAATTACACATGGTCATTACTAATTGTTCCTTATGATCATAACAGGTACCACAATCGCAGGTGCAGAGACTGTAGTTCTGCTCTGCACTACAGTTTTGCTTTTCTACCTGGAAGTTGAGCAGCCACCTCTGCAATTTAATTAGCACTATAGCTTCTCCTTCTGACAATCAACTACACTCTTCCTTGGCAGAGCTACTATGTCCTGTCTTCCATTGAAAGTAGTAGAAATCAGGAAAATCACTTCCCTAAGATTAATATCATTAAAAAAGATTAAGTGGCCTGTTTATAAAGTGACAGTTTTGAACAATAATTGTAGACAAAGATGATCACTCCGAATGAAACATAAGGTGAAATTTATTCTATCAGTCAGCAGCGCAAACTCCTTAAATCCAAGAGGCATGTATACACCTGCAGTCTTAAAACTCTGCCTACCCAGCAAGATGTGTTCTGTCAAATAAGTATTCCTGGGGTTTTCATAGTTCAAGGACTATAAACAAGAAAGATGCACTATACTTTCACCCAAGTCACTTTTTTGACATTCTACTCCAGAGTACATAAGAAAGAATGTACTTACTTTCTGCCAGGCTGTACATCTTAACAGAACAGAAAAAAAAGTAAGAGACAAGAAATTAAATAAAGCCCTCTGTGCTCAGAATGGAAGGAAAGATGCTATTTCTTTATGTTTTTTTTTTTACTTGGAACAAGTGTTCTTTATAGTAATTTTTTTCCTTCTACTTTTATCTTGCTTTATTCATAGAACATCGGGTGATGTAAAGGAATAGTTCAAATAAACGGCTCTTCAAAAGCAAACTAAAGAAAACTAGCGTGAGCAAGACAACTAAGAATGTAGAAAACTACTGTACTACTTCAAAGCATCTGCCTATTTTAGGCTACTATGAAGGGATGCTAAAAGCCAACTTTAGAAACATAACTTGTCGGCTACCTGCCAAGATTTGTCAAATTAACAAGCAAAGTTATGGAAAGCATCCTTGATTTGCTACTATTAGTCTTTTTACCTGCATGCATGTTTTCACCTTCTTACATACCCTGCATCAGTCTATGTGAAAAACATGAGTCAACTGCTTTAAACATAGGTCAAATAAAACCAGCTGGTCCTACTGGATCTTGTCTGAGTTCTTCAGGCAGTTTCCAGAGTGCTCAGGATCAGGGCCAGACTTAGTATGGGAATCCACTCAATGAGTCTTGAGCAATACATTTGCAAGCACAGCAGATGGAGCTTACATTATTAAATCAGGTATCTTTTCAACTGCTACTTCTAACCCGAGTGACTGTCCTCACTATTGCTAATTAAACCATGTCAACATCGTCAAATACTTCTCTGCCTTAATTCACAAAACTATTGAGAGTCTATCTACTTTGTAGTAGGCAAGCTTACTGTAAAGTAAAAATTGTCAGACAGCGCAACATCTCTCATTTCTCCCAAAAAAACCAGTTACTTTCCCTCACCATCCTCCCTGTTTGATGCAGAGCAAAGCCACGGAAATTGGTGTTCAACGTCTTTAAATAGTACTTGTTAAAGCCTACTGATCATTTACATGACAAATATAATGCAAACACACTAGTGAACAGTTAAGAGTAGTGAAATTGAATTTACAGACTGTTGACTTGTCTTCACATTTTGTCTGTTTTTCTCATGATAAAGAATGTGAAGGATCGTTATCTGTTTACCACATAAGGTTTATATTTAAAACGCCCTGGGGAAAAATCAGTTTTCTTTAAAACTTCCTGATAACTTCAAGCTTTCCTTCTTAAAAAAACAAATCACTACCTAAAAGTTTAAGTCACACATCTAATTTCATGAGGGTAACTATAACAGCTCTTTTATACTGAATCAAATATTCAAAATGTTAATTCTGTTATTGCTTGGAGAGAAAACACAGGTAGCAAATTCTCAGGTTGTCATGATAAGAGAAGACTGTCTTCTCAGATAACCAGGCTCTCCAAATTCCGAGATGCCGTAAGAGGATTTTATGTAAACTCACAAAATAGCTTCCAAGTTAAAAGGGAACTCAGGAGACTGCTATTTATTTAAGAAACATCAATCTAAAGAAGCACAAACATGCTGTAATTCTGTAGCAGGTGTACAAGCTGAGAAAGAAAGCTGAAAACTCCATTTTCTTCTCCATAATTATTCTAACTGTAGAAAATTTCTATATTTTATTCCTTCCTTACAAATACATGTAAAAGGTACGTGACTTCCACTCCCTGACTTGACACTAGCTCATTGTTTGCCTTGCAGAAAGTGACTTAACTATTCTCCTTCTGAAAGATGTTTATTATCTATTTTTTTTAAAACACGAGTTCACTCAAACTTTCTAGAACACCAAAAAGTTTAAAACTCACAAAACCTAAAAACATGCCTTTTCTTTTCTTGGTGAACTGCAATTTTCTTTAAGTACATGTACACGCACGTATTCTTACATACACATACAGAAGGAGCATATGCCTTGAAACAGAACAAAAATGCCTGCTATTAACTCTCTACTTCTCCACCGCTCTTAGCGAGCTCAAAGAGTCTGTCCAGCATTTTCTGTGCATTTAACTACCCACTGCATTAAATGACATTTTAGACATAGCTAAACTCATAGTTCTAATCATATTACTGTAGTTTGCTCCTTAATTGAAATTTCAGTGTTTGACATTGTAGTCTTGATACTGCACACCTGAATGCCTCAACTCCTTTAACTACATTGAAGACCCTAGAGTGAGCTAACTTTGGAAAAGATAAATGCTTTTAAAATACATTAATTTTTCTGGGAGATGGTCTTTGATAACCTAGATGCAGCATTTTAAACATGCTTTCTTCACAAGCTAACCAGCAATGGGGAAAACATTAGCATACCATTGGCCAAACTGTTATATAATTACTTAATTTAAAATAGGGTGTATGCTTTTACCATAAATTACCAAGAATAAAGATCTCAACACCAAAAATATCATAAAACATAGGATTACCATGTTATATATGTATGTGATGAAGATATGAATTGGCCTAGGGCTTTTAAAAGCCAACTCTATAATCAGAATGAAGTCTATGACAACAGATGATCAGCTTCTCTCACTGAAAAGCACTACACTAGTTTATCATGCATCCATATTAAAATATTTGCAAGCTGTGTCCTGAAGAGTTTCCATGTAACTCTATAGCAAAGGAAAAATGCACAGTCTATCAAGGCTATATACTTTCCTGTACCACCAAAATAAATATCTGAAGTTCAGTAGTGCAAACTTTACCTTAAACTTCACCTATGCCCTACCTGCTTACTCTTGACCATTGTTTATTCATACAAGCAACATGTGGATGGGGAGTAAAGCAATTACAAGTTAAATCTTCTATAGCTACTCTATACATGGTACAAAAGTCATCTTGATATAAATCCTTCAAATAATCTTTTTCAAAAAAACCCAACATCCATACCTTTCTTTCATGTCTACCAATTTTGATGAAAATTAGAAGTTTCTTTTTCAGAACTGAATACACAAATGAATGAACAGACTTGCACTCAGACAAAAGAGTGAAATTTCCTGTATTGTTGTATTCAAAGTAGGTCAACTAGGGCAAAAGAATAAAACCAAAGAATTTATAAAAGAAAGCTGCTTTTACCATACAAATTTCTCAGAGTGCCTTAATATGGGAAACGTATATCCTTTTTTATATCCTTAGTATTATCACAATCTCTGACAGACATGCCTTAATGGTAATACTGTTCCTTCTTTTTAATATCTAGTATTTCTTTTTAACAACTATGAGGAGTGATGGTAATCTGCTCTTCTTGCTCCCCAAGAGAAGAACCACCTGAGCACCTTCCTCCAGCCCTCATTAGACAGTATCTTTCCATACAGGTTCTCCCCTTCTATGCTAATATACCAAGCTGTTCACAATATATTAAAAGTGAACTGCAGTTCTTTTCGGCTCATGCCAAATTATCTCCGGGCACCAAATACGCTGTGGCTCTTGACTGCATACCTATATGAAGATCCTTGCTCAGTAAAACAAAACAAGAAATAAAAATACATATAGTAGATAGGCAATTGCTAGGATTTGCTGACTTACAGAATTTTACTAAGGTAAAGGAGAATCTTGCTGAAGGGCTATCTATGCTTCTCTTATTTAGGCCAATACAGAGCAATACATTTATGCTGAAGTAAATCTTGGCACCTTGCAGTATGTACCATCACAGGCAAATGAATTACCACATATTAGCTGAACCACTAACATGACCACATTTTACTCTGTAACTGCAGTAAGTTAGGAAGAATCTACTTTTAGACACTGTTTTCTTTTAAATTGAGATCACTCTCATGCAAAGTCATCTGTCACTATCTTTAATAACAGTTGCCCAAACCTGAGTGTGAATGAAATATGGATAATATTAGTACTACAGGTAATCATGTATATATCACTTCTCTAAGCAGAACGCAAATAAGCATGTACAGTTAATGCTATGTATGGTTAATGCTACATACAGTTATGCTGGTATTTAGCACGTATCTGTCGAAGGATGAACCTATGACAAAGGATTCCTTTCAAAACAGGTAGCAGAAATGATTTTATTTTTCCATCACTAGGTATGCTGAAACTGTTAGACAAAATACATACACACAAAGAAAGAAAAAGTAACTTTTTTTTTTCTTTCATCAACTAGTTGCAGTCAATCAGGCATTGGAGAAGGAATGGAAAAAATAAATCTATGTCATACACTCCAGCATATTAATGCAAAATTGCAGCTGAACACAGTTCTCAACCTTCAAGAGGCAAAAATCTTACCTTTTTAACTGTCACACCATCCTTTGGAGTTTGCTTTGTTGACAGATTGTACCCAATCATCTGTTTAGCAAGCTGTTCAACAATCTTAGGGCTACGAACAAAGGAAAAAGGTTAATTTATTGAAAAATATTAAAAGAAACAGCCACATAGCTATTGTAAACAGCTTAAATATTATAACAGAAGCAATTTATGCTTTTTCAATTTTAAAGACTTACTCTTTAGTTAGATGAACTCCTCCTTTCAATCCACTATTGAAAATACCTTTTCCTCTCCCTCCAGCCAGAATCTGTGCCTTCAGAACAATTTCCTTTGCCTCTATAAAACAAAAACACATTGTTATTCTATCATGTGTCATTTATTGACCTTGTTAGTGTAAGGTTAAAAAGCATTTCGAGGTTAGACTCTTTAAAAACAATGAGAAGTTGCTCATAACTAGCAAGCAATAAAACAGGAGTCAATTCAGCATTTTTACAAAGCAATCTTGCAAAAAAGAATTGTTCAAGGAAGTTAAAGGATAAATACACACTACTTACTAGCTGAATAAATATGTCATTATTTAGATCAAAACCGTGCTATTAGTGTTACATGACCTACACAAAAAAAAAACCCCAACATATAACCAGCATACAGTTTTGACAGCTTACACTCTGGCACTGTTTTTAAATCATGAATCAGATCGCATTTTGTCTTGAATGTACAACAAACAAATGCTCGTCAAGGAAAATAAATTCCATTCCTTGCTCTGAAAACATGTAAGCAAAGCTATGGATGTGGCCCTAAAAGAAGAAATCCCCATCTCCAAAGGGCAGGTAACTGTAGAGCAAGGGCAGTAGCTGTGAAAACATGTTCATCTGTTTGTGATGCATCACTTGAATCTTTGGCAATGTGAGTGTAACAGTATCTTAGTAACAAGAAAGTGCAGCAAGACACAGTGACAAAAGTAATTGTACGAACACCTACGTTCCAAACAGAAGCAATCCTGACATCCTTACAGAGTAAAATGGGCGGGGGGGGAAGGAAAGGTGCAAAGAAAAAAAAAACAACCACCAAAAACAGCACTCATGATCTCTGCAGCTCCATGATCATAGCAGCTTCTTGAATCCTAAAGACCTGCCAGGTGCCTGTAAGATGTTTATTAATACTGAATTACTTACCATAATACTGCCAGGAATTTTGCAAAGTCTGAGATCCTAATACTAAGATATCATTAAGCGGTGCCTAGAAAAGGCTAACTTTGTTATCCTTTTGTGATTGAGTCAATTCCCTCTGAAGTCCGTGGAACACACTGATTTCAGTGATGTTTGGATTAGGTCACACCTTGAATCACAACATTCTACGCCAGTATGCAAGAAAACATGAGAATTTGTCATTAAATTGACAGATTTACTGTTTAAGTGGCACAGAGGATATGGATACTTTCATTCAAACAAACACAGGTTTTCTAGGCTCGTATTACATTAAAATATTTTACAGATGATAAACAGAAGTTTAGGAATTTAAAAGGAAACGGTAAGTTGGATTTTAGGATAAAATAAATATTATGAAATAAATATTCTATTTCCTGTATTAAGACAGAAACACATTTTCAATACAGCTATCAGTGGCACTGTAGCAAGAGATGCTTGATTCCTAAGCTTCTCAAGGCAAAATCCCTCCACGTATTTATCCATTCAGTAACATTTGGCATACATCATTCTGAACCTTAAAAGCACTCTCCTTGAAAATACTTCATGCATTCCAATATACTCATGTTCTGGGCTCCCTATTATTCATGCCATTGCAAGGCAGATAACAAGGAAATTTAAATGCAACAAAAAGTTTTACATCAAGTGTTTCCTAAGCACACAAATTATTAAGATGAATTAAAACTATAAATCACTTTCCAACCTGCATCAGCAAACTCTAAAGTCACAATAGCTGCTGTGATAAAGAATCTAATATAGTATTGTTAATAGATGCTGCAAACATTTAATTAGATGGGTTTTGGGTGCAAACCATCCCGAGAATGTAAGTTTTGATTGTCAGTGATATGTGATATCAATTTTGTGAGTGATCATTACCCTCACTCCTAACCAGCACGCTACATGAGTGCCGGTTATCTTCATTTGGCTACAACAAATGAAGTTAGAGAAAGGAATTAATGGGTACATTTTTATAATCCACTAGAGGACTATCAAGGCAATACAATAACTTCACAAAAACAACTATCAAAACCATAAACAAACACACTAGAAAGTAAGCATAACCATGTAAAGATTAGACCTGAAGAACTAATCAATATAGCAGCTCAGCAGAGCACAGTACAGCAGGCTCTTCTTGCCCTGGGGGAAACCGAGAGGAAGCAATTTAATTCAACAGTTATTCGCCCAAGCTTTGTAAAATGAAGTAAACCAGCCAGATCTTATTTTACAGTAACTAGGCTTGATCATTCAGTACTTACCAAGTTGATTCACTACTTAACGTCACCATTTTATTTAAAGAGCCAATTTCTAGAAATGCTCACACAAAGTTTTTATGCTGTCTCCTGCCTGAATTCCCAAATTATGTTATAAAAGACTACCCCAAAACAAAAATGTGTTTTTAGCTGGAATATATGAAGTAATTCACCTTCACTTGTAGGCTCTAATGTAAATAAATTTAAAAAAAAAATCTAAAAAGCAAATGCAAAGTCAATATTAAAGGCATTAAAAACAAAAAGCTGTAATTAATTTCCATTAGCACCCTTCCAAACTGCTGTAGTAACAGCAGAAAAATGTTCAAGCAGGTTATAAATACTGGATTTGAAGAGAACCTAGCAAAAGCAACATGTCTTTACACCACCATAGAGTGCAACATTTCCAACAGCACTGCATTTGGTAATTAAGGCTTCAGTGAACTCCTGTTTATGTCCACTGACTGACAAGCCTTTGTGTAGATTTAAAAAAAAAAGCAAACAAAAAACCAAAAACAAACAAAAAACAAACCCCAAAACCAAACAAACCAAAATAACAAAACAGACTGCTTAAGTGTGCATAGTTCTTTTTTCTGTCACAGATTTAAAGTTTTCTTTATTATTCAAAACAATACAAAAAAAGACTGCTTTTAAGTGTCACTAATTTAGCAGCAAATAGCCGCAAACTGCTCTATGCAGATTAATGACGCATTTCTGGTAACAGCATGTGTTCTTAACTAATTATAACTTGAATACATTAATATCTCAGACTTAACAGTTTATTCTCTGGATCTTATATAAGTCTTTTTTACATTAATCTACAGAAGAAGAGACACATGAACATTTCCAAAGAGCCCTTTAAAAAAATGGAGCAAAATACAGCTTGTCCGTAAGTCAGATGCCAATAAATAGACAAGACCTTTACTCCTCAGAAAAGTCCTCAGAGTTTAAAATTTCACAACTGTAGTTGGGTCTAACCACATTTCTCAAAAAATTAAATCTAACCACACAGGCAAAAAGCCTTAAGTACTTTTCTTTTAAATAAATTCAGATGTTCCGGCAGAACAGAATATAATGCTCCGAGGGACAAGCATCCTCTACATTGCATTCCACAATACATCTCCTTCCCTTCAGTCAGCGCTGTGGATACAAATGGCAATGATACTCCTTGCAATTGTAATAGGCTCAGTTCTATAATGAAGGCCTATTTAAAATCAATAAAATCAGTCCTGCTTTGGGGACCTATGATTACTCTGGTCCACTGGTACTGCTTGCAGCAAAAATGAACAGATTGTTCTCAGCCCACTGCTGTGTATATTTAAATACTGAATTCTTGATCATGAAACAATATACTGAGAACCATAGTTCTGCTAGTTACATGGCATGCTAATTTATTACCTGTGAACAACTTTCCATTACTATTGATATGACTGCATGATTGCAAATTAGGCGTGTTAATAATTACGTTAAAATGTGCTGTAGCTTATCAAAAATAAAACTACTGTAAAGAAGAGACAATGTAAGACTGCATGGTAATAGGCCTCACTCCTGCCTGTTTATGCACAAAAGATTTTCTATCAGAGAGTACTCAGGAGTACTTCGGCAAGGCATCCTACACTACAGAATGAGAACATGGGAATGAAAGGGAGGAGGTCGCACACAAAATCCTCATCACATTTCTGTCTCACCATGCAACTTTCAGCAGCTCAGCTTCTCTATCTGCAGGGGCTCTGTGAACATTAATTAGCGTCTGCACCTCTTTTAAAAATGCAGAACCTGATTCAGTATTACATTTCTGTATTTTTACCCCAGTGTTAGGCAACTGATGACAGGAGAAGGGCTGACGCCAAACCCCGGCAGCACCAGAAGTACTGCAGCAGCAGTAAAGCATCACTGGCAAATGCACTGATCTCTCTTGTAATGAGCTTAGTGCACATTGCGAAATAGGTGGAAGCAACTCAGTGTCATGGGAGCAGTGCAATGAAGACAAACTGAGGACATGCCAAATCAATGTCTTGCAGAAGCACTGTCTCCTTACTGACCCAAACGTGAGCATAAACACTGAGTTTATAAACACACGAGAGCCATTTCCACAAAGGCAGCAGGCGTTAATGAGACTCTTCTGTCCTTCAGTACGCACAGGAGGACCCCAGCCCAGTGTGGTTAGGCAGCTATTAATTAATTTCAAGAACTTTGCTAGTCACCCTTCTTTGCCTAAAGTCATTAAGCTGTGCTTGATGAGCAGAACTCTTTGAGCACATCCCCCTTCCCAAAGTCCTGAAAGAGCTAGATGGGGCATGTGAATCTGCAACCAGCTCCAAACTCCACCTCTACAAAGACACAGAGGCCAATCTAATGATGTACTTCCCTGTAAGACTCCTCTGGACTTCCTTTCCCAAAGGGAGGTTTCTCCCCCACTCTGCTTTGTAACTTAGCTTTTGTAACATGGAAGTTGAGGAAAACAAGGCGGATATTATAGACATTTTCTGACAGCAATTATACTTCATTTTGGATAGCACAAGAACTATAAAGACATCAACAAAACCGAGAACACCTACATGCCATTCCTACTCCAGTTTCCTCATTAGTGTTGATGCAAAACCACAAATGCTCAACTGTCCTGTAAGGGTTCTAGATAACCTCTCCCAAACTGCATATCTGCAGCTCAGAGCTTGTCTTCCAAAACATGGGGTTCCCCTTACAAGCCCTGAGAGGGTCAAGTTTGGGTTGGTTTGGGTTCTTTTTACCTACCTCTAGCTAATCCAACTGTAAGGAAATCTACTTTTTGGGGTCTCATCTGTCCCGTTCTATTGTTGTTGCTTGCTTCTTTCTTGTTTTAATGCTACCACTACCACCTGAGTTTCTAGCTTCCCTTTGGGAAAGA